GGCCTTCCACACAGCCCCCATCCAGCAATTTCAACTCAAGATCATAGTCTCTCCAGTCTTCCTGACTGTGACCTGATGGAGGGATGATCAGATGGACTGTGGGAAATGGTGAGTGTTACTTCCAGGGGCTCACGAGGCTACACATAGCGTGGCTCAAGGCTGCACGTGGTTCACAGGTTGCCCACTTCTGGCTGCATCACATGACTGGCCATCTTGTTGATTGGATCCCAATGAGTCAACCCATGGAGAAAACAGAAGGCTTTTTTTAAAAGCTCATGCAAAGAACTCCATAGGATGCCTGAAAGAATCCAAGACTGAAATATTAAGTGAGCTGATAAAATATCTAGCAGTCGGCAATTCTGCCTCGGAGAAGCATATAGAAAGTTTGAGGCTCAAGGATATGGCAGAATTAACTCATTCCTTTGATTCATGTTCATCTCTCTCTCACATACACACACACAAATCTCAAAAAACATAAAACAAAAAAAATCGAAGCAAAAGAAAACACATTTTAGCACTTTTCGGTGCACATTTCTTAAATTTAGCCTTCAAGTCGTTGCTTCAGGCGCTCTCAGGCTTTCTGCACGGAGCACCAACTGCTTTCACACTTCATAATTTAACAAGGCCACGCAAAAGATCTGCGCTCCTCTTCGATTCCCGGCACCCTCCTCAAATGTACATGAAATTATCTCTTGGGCCTCCCGCTGCCTTCTTCTGGTGAAAGAACCTCCGCTGGGTTCCTTACAAGATGTAGGGGAGGAAGCATACTGCCTAAGAACAAAACATTAAAAAATCCTGCTTGAAATGAAAGCAGTCACTTTATTTGCAAGATCAAAGCATGGCCTCTTGCCATGGCAGCTATATTGCTTGCTGTCATCCTGAAAATGTTCCCATCAGTGACATAGATGGGGAAAGTCCAGGAAAGGTTAGGGACCAGCTTGGTAGGGTTGCTTCGACACACCATGCACATGGGCTCATGACAGGGAGATGATATATTCAATGGTTTATTTTTTGCTAGCTGCTGACTTCTCCCATGATTAAAAACCCACTCCTCCTCTTCAACAACTGGCCATGCTGGGTGGGGGATGCTGGAAGCTGTAGTTCCTAAAGGAATCTATCTGAGTGATGGGTTTAATGCATCAGACAGCTTTAGCCCATGATATATTCTTCCCTTCACTGTTTGCATACAAAATATTCCCATTTGGAGTTCAGCTTGGTTTTAATCCAATGGTCACAAACATGTTGCTTTGTATAGTGAATCACACTACAGGAGATCCATTGAACCAGTGAGGATTCGGTGAGTCAAATCCTCTGTAAGTTAAAGGTAAAGGTTCCCTTTGACATTTAGTCCAATCGTGTCCAACTATAGGGGGTGGTGCTCATCCCCGTTTCCAAGCCATAGAGCCAGCATTTGTCTGTAGGCAGTTTCCGTGGTCACGTGGCCAGCGCGACTAGACACAGAACACCATTACCTTCCCACCAACGTGGTACCTATTTATCTACTCGCATTTTTACATGCTTTCGAACTGATAGATTGGCAGGAGCTGGGACAAGCAACGGGAGCTCACTCTGAGGTGTGGATTCGATCTTATGACTGCTGGTCTTCTGACTGTGCAGCACAGAGGCTTCTGAGGTTTAACCCACAGCGCCACCACGTACCTACATTTTAGAACTTACAGAACTCCTCTGTAAGTTCTATGAAATCAAATGGACCTACTCTAACTGTCACTTAGGGTGTGGTTACACTGTTGAAATAAATCAGGAGAGGGACTGGGGTTTTTGAGTTTGGTTTAACATGTGGTAGTCATGTGGTTTTTGGGTTGGTGTATGTGTGTCCTCTTGAGAAAACTTTAAATCCATTTTTAAACTGTGTTGTCTATCGATCATGGGCTTTTAGAATAATTGCACGAGGTTTTGTCTTGTGCCCGCCCACCCGACCTTACGCTGCCTGCCTCTCAAAGCCACTAGCCGCCACTGCTGCATTGTTATATTTAAATATTATTATTTATTTCTTGCAATCTGGCATAGCGCTAGTACAGAATGACGAACAGAAAAAAATTAAAAAGGTTTCCCTGCAGACAGACAAGCAGACAGACAGACAGACACACACACACACACACACAGAGGGGTGAGGAAGGAAAGGGAGCAAGGGAATTGGGGATGAAACTAATCAAAGACCTTGGCTAGGATTGCCAAGTAAGGATAGAGGGAGCTAAAGCTGAAACTGACCAGAATTGGAAAGGAGGGAAACACACACAGAGAGAGAGAGAGAGAGAGAGAGAGAGACAGACAGACAGACAGACAGACAGACAGACAGACAGACAGTCAGTCTTGGACAGAAATGTTGAGTTGAGCTGATAAACAAGATAGCTTCGTAGGCGGTTCTGATAGCTTGCTTGTCTGGACATGTCCTGATGCAGACATAGCTGCACTCTAAGACAGCCACTACATCAGAGAAGTCACAAGGCTCCAAACGTAAAGCCCCTACACCGAATTAGGTCTTCTCTAGGCTTTCCCCACTCATTGTCTTCCAAGTTGTTCGAAATAATACAGAGCCAGAGAGATGGATAACTCTTAATTTGCAAAGACAGTGATTCTGGTCTGGGTCCTACTGTCTTCTAAAGGAAGTTCTCGAGGTTCTGAATGTATCTGGAGGATAGCATTTGGAAGTTTGGAGAGTTCTTGTAAAGTGTGGGCTAACTCTCGGTACAGATTCACTGCCTCCCTGAAATCGGAGTCACCAGCCTCCACTGGTGCAATTAAGTGTCCCACCATTAAAGTATTTATAATTTAATGATTTAAAATATGTTTACCCCACCTTAAAAGATCCCAGGCAACTTACATCATTAAAGGACAACATTTAAAGCTCAAGACAATAAGTATACAAATACTAAGAAGGAACAAACAAATTGCACACTAGAAGACAGTAAACAAAAGCAGCACCAAAAACACATTCAAAGCAGTAAGGCACGGCAATCCACTTAGGAACCCCACTCAGGCAGCCAGCCACTCAGGGAAGGTCTTTGCCTGCTTGCAAAAGGATTGCAAAGATGGGACCAGCTCGACCTCCTGTGGGAGGGAGTTCCAAAGTCTGGGAGCAGCCACAGAGAAGGAACCCTTGCATTTTCCCACCCCCAAACACACCTGTGATTGTGGTGGGACTGAGAGAACGGTCTCTCCTGATGATCTTAACAGCTGAACAGGGCGCAATTTGCCCATAGGTAAAAGACATTCAGGACATGGCTGGTTTAGACTATAAAGTTCACCATTTTCTGTTCCATAGTGCTCAACAAATACAAAACCATGTGACGTTGTGGTTGGAATATTGTTCCAGGACTTGGGAGACTTGAGTTCAAATCTCCACTCAGTCCTGAAACTTACTTGGGCGGCCACTTTTTCTTCTATCAGGCAATCCTACCCCCACTCCCAGGTTGTTGCAGGATAAAAATGGGGAGGGTACCCTGCTTTGTGCTCATGGGAGGAAAAGAGATAAAAGGGACAAATTAATAAAATAAATCAAGTGAATAACTGAACACTTCCTTCCTTGATAGTAGGGCCGGCCCAGCATTGTAACATAGCAGATCTGCTTGGGCAACTATAAAAGTGGGCATTTGAGGAGAGGTGGAAAAGACACCATTCCAAGAAGAAAAAGGAAGAAACCCTGGTAATGCTCATGTTCAATTCATTTAAGTTTGCTCACTGTTAAGACTTGGAGAGGGCTATGTCTCCCTCCCTAAGCATCCATCAGGGGTGTAAATGAATTCCTATTCAGCGTCACTATGGCACATCCATTGATTATCTTGGCTCCAAACTGTGAAAGGGATTTCAAGGATAACCATAAGAAATGTAGTAGCAAAGAACAAGTACCAGCCAAAACAGCTAGAGCAGAAGTTCACCCATCCATCAAAGACACAGGGGAAATACAATAAAATAGCTCTGTTTGCAAGAAAATGAAATTAGTTACATGATATCTCCAAAAACCACTCTCTTACACAAGCACTTTGCTGTATTCAGAGAATCAAATCTCAATTTAGTAAGGTATCAACGACTTTAAACACCTACATGTAGCCACTTTCCTCTTTTCTTTTCTAGGGTAACAATCTAGAAAGTCACAGCTTCCCATCATGTTTGAACCAAGAAACTATGGTTAATAACTTCTAAAAAAGCCAGAACAGGAAACTATGTTTTAAATTTGATTAACATCACCTGTTTTGTTTAGACATCATTAACCACAGTTTCCTGACTCAGACATAACAAGAGTTATGGTTAATTATACCTTCCTGGAATGTTACTCAGCTCATTCTAATGTGGTTGCATGAGGCTAATTTATTTCTCATTTTAGATACTATGAGTGCATCTAAAGTGAGTGCAAGGGGCAAGATCTGAATATTCACTTATTTTAGGTGTCACTGTAAACTGTGGTTTGCATTAAACATGGGAAAAAAATCATACTGTGGTTCAAGTTCACTGGCATACAGCTGTAAAACCATGCTTTTGCTGCCAACTACTCAACAACCATCCTCATATATTCCCTCCTATCTCCATGGTGCAACTGGCTCTTGAGTCAGAATAACTGCCCAAACATAACAATGAATGATAATAATACTCTTAGAAGTGCATGAATTCAGATATAACAATCAAACCATAAATATCACCAACTGTAGGTTGCAAACTAGCACCAGAACATGGAGGACAGCTTGAACACCTCCCCAACCGAGCAAAACCATGGTTTGAAACCTTGAGAAGGTACATACTAAGAGTAAGAAAAGACCACAGTTCCCATGTTATCATATAAGCTGTTGGACTCTAAAACTTTAGTCCAAAAAACCCACACAAAACTTCCCCATCTCTGGTTCAGATGAATGGCATGCCATCAATGGATTTACCCCATCGTAGTTTGGTACTATGTGTCACTATTGGCATCATGTCTGGGTGGTCAGTTATGTACATTAGCCATGAAATATATTTGATATTTTCCCTCTTTTAAATAAACATCATACCTTATAGACTTGTCCATATGTCCCATTTCCAACAACTTGTACTAGTTCAAATATCCCTGCTGGATCCTAGAAAATACAAGAATAAAGTGGGATGTCAATTGATAATATTTTAGGAGGGTCAATATCTTGTGCCCTATGAATTCAGTGGATGGACGGCTGATGAATACAAACCAAGAGGAAGACCTCCTGCACGTAGTTCCTTGAAACAAAGGAGATCTGGTGGAAAAGCTACTTGGGTTTCCTAAAAATAAAAAACAGATGTGCAAAGCCCTCTTGCCGTCTGTCAGTGGAAAGGAAGTGTTTCCTACTGCAAAGAGTTAATGACACAGCTTTGTTCTTAGACATGTGGATGGCAAATCCTGGAATGTAGAAATGCCAGTGTACGGGGGCCACAGCTATTCTTGTAAAGCATGAATAGAACAGAAAATTAAACCGTATTCAACCTCACCCAAGCTGAAGGCAAACAAATTCCATTTTCTAAAAATGGCCAGATAGGGGGAGGTTTCTGCAAAATGACAGAGGAGTCAATGCCAGACATTTGCAGCACAAATACTCTGGCCTTGCCGATAAAAACACCTGATCAGCCACCTCGCTCTGTTTGACAGTGCAAATATGGTTATTTAAACACCCTCCCTCAATAACCCCCCACCACCCATGTCTGTGTCCTTGCCATCAAGTCAGAACTGACATAGTGACCCTAAACAGGGATTTCAAGGTGAGAGGGTTTTTTCCACTTCCACTTTCCCAGTGAGTTTCCATGGCCAAGTGGGGATTCGAACCCTGTTCTCTAGAATCCTAGTCTGTCGCTCTCTCCCCAACACCACTAGGAATCCACACACTCCACCCATAGCCACCATTGAATCCACTGCCTTGGATTTAACAAAGCTAAGTTGGGATACTAGAAATTCAAATAATGTATTTATTGTCATTGTAAGCATATACATAGTATATACATACAGTGGTGCCTCGCTTGATGATGTTAATTTGTTCCAGCGAAATCGCTGTAGAGTGAAAACGTTGCAAAGCGAAATAAAAAAGCCCATTGAAATGAATTGAAAACCGTTCAATGCATTCCAATGGCATTAATAGTTAGAATAGATCCAGTGAAGATCCTCCATAGGGGCGGCCATTTTTGGTGCCTGTAAAGCGAAGAATCCATCCAAAAACACAGTGGTGAGCCATTTTGAGCACCCAGAGGCCATTTTGAAAATCCAACGATCAGCTGTTTTGATCGTCGTAATGCGAAGAATCGGTTCCCAAAGCAGGGAACCGATTGTCACAAAGCGGAAAAACCCCATTAAAACATTGTTTTGCGATCACAATTGCGATCACAAAAACATTGTCGTGAAGTGGATTCGTCGTTATACGGGGTAATCGTTAAGTGGGGTACGACTGTACAACAAAATTCACACAATCACCACAGAAGGTGTGCATCTGGCAAAGAAAAGAGACTGTGACGTGCTAGTACCCCGTTTTCCTGAAAATAAGCCCTAACCTGAAAATAAGCCCTAGTAGGATTTTTCAGGATGCTCGTAACATAAGCCCTACCCCAAAAATAAGCCCCAGTGAAGTGAAACCCCGCCCTCCACCCTCGTGCAGCAACCAGAAGACAACATGACAGTATTTGAATCAATGTAGATGGTTGTACATGAAAAAAAATAAAATAAAACATCCCCTGAAAATAAGCCCTAATGTGTTTTCTGTTTTTTGTTTGTTTGCTTGTGTTTTGGGGGGGGGGGAGAGCAAAAATTAATATAAGACCCTGTCTTATTTTTGGGGAAACACGGTAGTTCAGGATTTGACAAAGGGCACACAAAGTTATATCGGAGATGGTAGGCAAGCTTTGCAAGAAGTGCAGAAGAGAGTTTATTTGCATTTTACTAGAAGCTGCTATATCTTTTGGAGAGATCAGACAATCCAAAAATAGCTAAAAACAGAAGATTCAAGTATTCTGTCATGCTTGCACTCTTGGCAGAAAACAAACAAAAAAAACCACAGTAAAATCTTAAATTTAAATATAAATACAAAGGAAGGGCATTTATGTTCTGACTTCCTGTGTGATTTTTATTCCTTGCAGCCTTCTGGGGCACTGTGAAGAGAGTGACGTGGCATCTTGGCCCCCAGGTCAGGAGTGATGCTCCAGTCTTTCGGTCCTCTCGCTCAATGATAAAGACCGTGCAAGAAGACGGGCATATGGTCCAGTGCATTACACTAATTAACCTCAAAGTGATGAATGTTTGGGTCAGGGTTTTTGGCATCTGGCAGAGGAAATGCAGCAAAAAGTTGGCAGCAGCTGGAGAGAGAATTCCAGCCCTGCGATAGCAAATTGCTAGCAGAGAGGAAGCACTGAGATAATTAAGAATAAAGTCCCGTCAGAAAATGAAGCCATAAAAGAACCTGAGTGACCCCCACCAGCATGAGGCTAGATCAGGGACCAGAGTCACAGCCCATTGAGGTACTGCTGCTTGTAATGTAGTGGCCATGCTGGCTTGGGGATTCTGGGAGTTGTAGTAAAAAAAATGTAACTTCGTCAGGACCCAGAAGTCAGCTTATAATTAGCCACTTGCCTACTGGCCTAAGGTAAGAGTGAACCATCATCCATGCAAAAAACCAAATATGTATCTGTACAATGGAGGAAAGCTGGCGGCTTGAAAGACAGGACTGATGCAAATGCTTTTCCTGCTTGGAAAACACTAGATGAGCGTATTCTCAAAGGCTTTCACGGCTGGGATCCGATGGTTGTTGTAGGCTTTTCTGGCCTGAAACCTTCGGAACATGGCCAAACAGCCCGAAAAACCTACAACAACCAACTAGATGATTCCCAATTTGGGTCCCCAGATGTTCTTGGACTACAACTCCCAGAAATCCTGGCCAGCACAGGTGAAGGCTTCTGGGAGTTGCGGTCCAAGAACATCTTGTTGGAACCCCACCGGTCTAGATGACAGCCCCGCTATACTTAAATCAGAGCACCTCACTCAGACAAGTGGCCCATTGGAGCAGAGGTGCTTTCATGCGTTAGGTGTGCAATGTACCTGCTCTGAGCCGACTGCTTCATTGCCAGCTAGAGATCATTCCCGATACTGCCTGGGATGGACAGGGAAAACATGACTGGGAGACGATGGATAGATAGATGCTACCTGGCTGCTTATCTCAATATGATGGATTTGCACGGGCCAAGAAGACCTTGGAGTGTTGGCTCTGCGAGTCTGCACCCCCTATCCAGTCTGCCTGATAGTAGGGCTGGCCTTGGTCCCAGAGAGCAAAAGCCAAATTACTTTTCTGGACCCCAACTCACCTCATGCTGGCCGGGGTCTCGGCTTGAGACTCTGGGGTGCTGCTGCCAGTCAGAGCAGGCAGAACTAGAGGAGGTGGACCAACAGTTCGACCCCAAATAAATCCAGAGAAACAGAAAGAAGGCAAAACTCCTAAACCTTGCTCAGGGTGGAGAGTTTCTTTGACATCCCCCCCCATGCTTTTGTGAGAGAGCCTGGGAACAAACGTTTGCACCTGTGACTGCAACCAGACTCAGCCGTTAGATGCATCGGGGACAGCTGGGAGATGGCTTCCATGTGCGGCCGGGAGGTGTGCAGGCTGGGTTGTGGCTTAAAACGACAACAGCAGAGGTCAGTTTTAGCTTTTGGTTTGACTGTTTTCTTATGCTCTGTCGTGGGCATTCTGTGTACTATGTATCTCTGAATATATTAGTCCATGGCTTTTGCATGCATTTATATTGCATGCATTTTATATTTCAGGCTTGGATATTTTGTCTTACGTTTTAGGACGAAGCGGTTTTACAGAAAGGCTGTGTTTTGAATGGGTGTTGGTTACCCTTGTCTTTTTTGGGGAGATTTGCTGCATTTCCATACTTTTGTCCCGACAGTTTCAACTGCTGTCTGGTTTCACACAGTTGATTTATCACAAATAATTTGTGTGGGTACCCATAGGCAGTGAGTATAGATTTCTCTTCTGGGCCATCTAGTAACATGTAGATTTATTTGTGAGCCCACTTTTATGGTCAGGTGCACCTTTGGACTGAGAAACCAGGCTCCTGTATTTATAAGTTTAAATAGCAAGATATTGTGATGGTGGTAGCTTTATTTATGTGTAAAAAAATTAACAAAAATCCTCCTGTGTAGTTTTGCTGGTAGAAGGGAAACGGCATCACTTACAATAGCAAATTACTATTAATTAAGAAGTCCCTGCTTAGATTCTTCATTGCACCCTGATTTGTGGAAGACAACTTGCCTCCACCCCCAAAATGCAGACCAAAAGCATTTCTTGTTCCCAATTGGCATTTGTTCAAAATATCTCCAGCATCTTTTCCCTTTGTGAATCGCAGCTAACCGTACACGTAGAGAAAGGGTGATTGCTCAGATAGATACAAACAGTCCATTTCATGCTGCAGCTTTTAGCAGTCCATGAAATGGGGGTTTTATGTTTTGTACATTTGAAATGGTCCAAAATCAGTCTTGCATGTAAACAAATGCAGGCAAAATAAAATGTTATCGGCTTTCCGTGAGAAGGACTTTTTTGCATGCTTTCTCTGTCTGTGCTTTGGGGTTTAGCCTATGAATATGGGTCAGGCCATGATTCACATCTATGGCAAAAATGTCAAGGCTAATTTCCACACTGGGGCAGAACAAGGCCTATGATAATCAGCAGCCATATTTGACAGGTGTGCAAAATGCTGACTCATGCAGTATGTGTATTAAATGTAGTGTCTGATGATGCAGCGTCCTCACTGATTGGCTGTATGTAAATGTGCATGTGGAGAACTGTATGGACAGGTGGAGATGATGCATGGATCTCTTCTGATTAATGTCGTGCTGCTGGTTTGTACTGCTAAAACTTTTGTATGTATTATAAATATACTTGGTGTTGGAAGAAGCTGTCTTTGCCTGCATCATTCAACTGGACTGTCCTGGACTGGGACAAAACTCTGCTAATTTACACCAACAAAAAAATAGAAGAGACACATATATTTCCGTAACACTCATAAAAAAGTGCAGACTCTGTTCAAAGCTGTTCAGAGGGCTTTAGAAGAGGACAGGAGAAACTGATGGGGG